AAAAACGGTAGCTGGAATAACAGGTTACTATGGTACTGGACTTAATCAGCTGTGGAATCCACTGGCAATAGTTGTCGATAGTAACCAGAATATGTATATTGCAGACGTCACCAACACTCGAATTCTTCAATGGAAAGTAGGTGCAAGTTCTGGAGTAAGCATCGAAGGAATGACAGTATATGGTACATCTACTATTAGCTTCGATCCGAATGGATCACTTTTTATTGCTGATACTGCAAAAAATCGTGTACTAAGATTTGCTGTTTCTTGTCGTAAGATTTATCTAAGATTAATAATTTTATTTTAATATATCGATATTCTTTTTCTATTGCAGCAAAAAACATATCAACTACAACTGTTTCATCAGTAGTAACTACGACAAGTAAGTATCATACTATTTTTCAGTAGAATAAACATTCATTTTAATATTAATTTTTATAATTTTTTACTGACTTTGAGATAAGATCTAACATAAACAAATAATAGTTTTTTAATCTAGAGGTAGAGATATTTGTGATAGATTGTTTAATATATTAATTAATATCTAAGTTTTGGTTTTTAAGAGATAGTCAGCGATAATAAAGAATATTTTTCCATGAAAATAATTATCGATTTCATAAGAATAACAAAATTTTATATATTGATCTTAATTATTTGATTAATAATAGATCTAATTTCTTCAGTTCTAAATAATACATTAATGAGATATTGAAATGATATTGAGATATTACAATTGGCTCTATTAGATCATTTAAAATAATCAAATGATTTAATTTAGATCGAATAACTGTAGAATTCAAAATAACACATAAAAATCTTCTGAATCTGCGATCAAATAATTCCATGTTGAACAATAAGTGATAAGAATTTCGTATCAAAAAAAACATTCAACAAGAAGTAATATAACTTGAACACTAGAAATCAGATAGATGTAGTTTAGGAACCTTTTTTTATTCAATTACAAGAGTGAAGTCCAATTCTTAATATCAACGCTTTTTCTCACTTTTCATCACATATATAATAGATTCATAAAATGAATAATGTACTATATTTTTGTTTTTTACTAGTGCCTATTTCGAATTCAAACTGTCCAATGACTCTTTGGGCATCGAATGCAACAACAATTGCTGGTTCACCTATGGGTATTGCAGGTTTTACTTCAACATTGCTCTCTAATATAGTAGACGTCATGGTTGATAAAAATGATTCGATTTATGTTTTGGATTATGGTGCATACTATCGTATGCAAATTTTTTATCCAGGTAGTCAATTAGGAAGGACAATCATTAACGCCACCATTGGTTCAGGTCTCAATCAGTTCACTTCCGGTAGATAATCTAAGATAATTGATATATATACGATTTTTTCTTTAATTTAGGCGTCACCGCCATCAACATAGATGTGAATGGTAATATGTATGTACTTGACGCGAGAGCCAGTCGTGTTACGAAGTGGGTCCCAGGAGCATCAGCGGGTCTAGTTGTTGCGGGTGGTAATGGAAAAGGCGAGACTCTTAACAGACTAAATAGTCCTTGGGGCTTTTTCGTTGAGCCAAATACAGCCTATATTTGGATAGCCGATTCAAATAATAATCGCATTGTAAAATGGATAAATAAATCGACTGCCATACTAGTTGCCGGAGGTACTCAAGGTTCTCAAGCTAATCAATTTGATGGTCCAAACGGATTATTCGTCGACACATCTGATTCGAATACAGTTTATGTAGCAGACTACTTTAATCATAGAATCCAAAAATGGCTTTATGGAGCAAGCAATGGAACAACAGTCGCCGGACAATCAACTGTGTCTGGTAGTGCACTTAATCAACTTAGTTACCCATATACTTTGACTATGGACACGAATAAATCATTGTACATTGTGGACAACGGAAATAATCGAATCGTTTTATGGTTATTAGGATCTACATCGGGTATACTCATTGCTGGTTCAAATACTTACGGAGTATTACCATCTCAACTATATCAGGCTTACGATGTCAGACTTGATTCAACTGGAGCACTTATTGTCAATGATTACGGTAACAATCGGATTCAAAGATTTCCTGTTCTTTGCTGTAAGTTTAATAAATAAATATCCAATTTAATTCATTTTTATAAATATATTTGAAGCGTATAGATACGTTTAACGAGAGACCGTTGCTAACTACCTGATCGGATTTTTTAGTATAAACTATTGCATTAGAGATTATTCACTATGTAGATTCCGAATATGATTATGAAAAGTCCTCTTAGATCTTCATGGGATGGTTTTCTAGAAAACCATTTTGAGAAATAATAAATTTTTTACTAACTGCTATTTTAATCTGTCCGTATTATGAAGTGTATCAAATTGTCTATAAAACAACTGTTTCTGTTTTAAATTGAATCCTCGAGAACATACGATCATGTAAATCCATATAACAGATGCACACTAGAATAACTTAATATTAAAATAGAAAGTTTCTATTATTTCTCTTGGAGTTCATTTTTGCAAAACAGGAAAAACTGTCCTATTAAAGACAATTTGATGTACTCTATAATTTCAACAGATAAAAAACAATATTTAATTAAAATTTTGTTATTATTGAATATCATCCAGAAAGAAAAGAAAATTTTTACTCACAATTGATTTTTCTTAATCATATTTTTTTATTTCATATCTTCTAGCACCAAATACGGCGTCATCA